AACCCTCCTATGGTACTCCCACCTTACTCTAAATGGACTGGATAGTATACAATGTGCGCAGCGATCGCCGATTTGTTCCATGAAGGTGAACCAAGTTGAAACGGATCTCTGTATCGAAATTTGTTACCCACGGACTGCTATTACGTCTCTCTGCTGCATCCATAAGGGTCAAGCTCGTGATATATATTTTGTTAAAAGTTTCCACAGTTTAAACAGGCATATTAGTACACAACGCCTTCATTGAATCAAGATTTATGCTACCCGTCCTGCTCCATCAGGCGGATTCACCATCAACAGACTTGGGTGTTGGAAATCGACAGAAGATGATGAGCCGAAGATAAGTGAACAACAAAGTGGTAAGATTGTCCTAGGATGTACGTAGAACTGCGTACTGTAGGCAAACGAACAAAGAAGAATAGTCCAAACAATACTACATAAAAAAGCCGTGCCACATTCCCATGATAGACGCCGACGGCAAGCTCATAGATCGTCTACTCAAATCTCTACATTGGGTTGGTCATAGGTCCAGCCAGTAACCTGTCCATCTTTATACACATGGTACCTACACATTGTTAGTGATTTTTCCTCAGTGTCGAATGTCAAATGATGTAACATACACTGCAACATTCCACGGTTTCTTGCCAGGCAGACCGACATCAGCGAAGAAGCGGAACGTGCTGTGCTCCTGGGCATCTTCTCCGCTTGTGTGCCAGAAACTGTACAACCAGAGCTCGTCATGGTCATACTTGGGCAGGCCCTGCTCGCAGCCCACGAGAATTTCATACAGCGGGTTCGTCGGGTCCTTTTCTTTCAGGAGTTTCTCGAGCGCGGAGAGATTGTCCTTCGTTACACCGCTCCCATTGTGCAGGAGCACATAGCCAGCAGCTTTGGAACCGTCGCTATCGCCGGGATAGGGAGTGTAATTAGGCTTCCGGGACATTAGTTCTGAAGGTTAGGTGTCTTGTGGACTACCGGTGAAGGTCAGGCAATTTATAGTACTGCGATGTACCATGGCGCGCTCTCGGAAGCCCGGCAACCCCACACTTTGACATGGCGTATGCATTGAATGTATCCACAGTCGGCCTCATTTGTGGCTTATCAACCCGTTGCGCGTCTATTCGGTGAAAGCCCGTCGATGAAGGTTCTCAAATACAAATTGTTCCCAGATAAGCCCTTCGATCTTTCATTCTTCTGTCCGGTGACCTGTCCGCGCGTCTATCTGCTCTATTATGAGACTCTAGAGAGTCAACTCGTCGCAACCATTGCGAAACACACACAGGACAGATACAGTCACCACCACTAAAAAAAGAAATTTCAACTGAGAGTCGACTCTGAGCTGTCGCAACCATTGCGACACGTACACAGGACAGCTTACAACATACGAGGTACGAGCTTCAACAGTTGTAGCGTCTATCTAGGAGAGACTAAGGACAGCTACAGTCATCACCACTAAAAAAGAAAATTCAACCGAGAGTAAACTCTGAGCTGTTGCAGCCATTGCGACTCGCACTCAGAACACCTGCAGCAGTTACTGGTTCATTTATCACTGGCATAAATTTCGGGTTATAATAATGCGGAAAATGAGCTGTCGCAACCGTTGCGACTCGTGCACAGGACACCTCCATCGCGGTTATACAAGTTCCTTCCTTCCTGCAGAAGTCACTGACCTACTTACCACATCAAGCACCTTTGACTCTCCACATTTAAATTGACTGTGTCATTGGTCAACTCACTCCGAGCTCCGACTGAGGTCACCGGTGTGACACCACTTCGTGGCTTACATGAAAATCACCACCAGTTTCAGATAGTGCTGCCACCCGTGCCCGTGACGGCAACGGCCCGTTGGATAGGTTTGAGGACCTCTCACAGGACGGTACGGTCGACGGCACGGCCGTAACGGGTGTGTTGACGGGCCCCGGGTTGAAAAATCATTTTTTGAGCATGTTACCCACAGAAGGGATCATGAACGTGGGCATTGGAATCTACCTGCTGCAGTATACTGTTTTTGAATACGAATGGATTCAGATACCAGTTGTTAAGCGCTGAAAAAGTCTCACTTAGGTTCCAAAATGTGTCAGTGAATATGTTCAACTCATTACGAGAGCCCAAATAACAAAAGAGTCTCGGTAAAATTTCAGGATCTGAATTTTGTGCAACAGAGAAAAACCTCGTCTGCCAACAAGCGGCTGAACTTGGGTTCAACGGTGCCATCACGGTTGCGGCAATTGCCATGATGGATGAATACTTCGCATTATGAAGCCTGGAGAGTAGAGAAGATTTAGCCAATGGGAAAGGAGCATCAAATTCCACACATGTGTTCTTCCTAGTCCAGAATTGCTCAATAAATGGTGTTTCTTCATGCCAGAAAAATGAAGCCGTCGAACGGCCGTGACGGCCGTTTTTCAACGGCCCGTAGCACAGCAAACCCGTGCCGCCACCGTGCCGCTGAGCTCTAGAACAAATGCTCTACGGAACGGGCACGGCATCCGTTTGACGGATGCCATCGAACCGTTGCAACGGTCACGGGCGGCAGCCCTAGTTTAGGAACCCGGCTAGCCACTGTCCCCTCCCGGATTTAGAGCATATATCGAACACCGGGAATCACGTTTGCGGAATTGTTGGAATTCTTTTTATCATGAACCCTGCTCGGCACCCCCTGAACATTTCCTTAATGGTACAGCGACAATCGTGGAGAGCTTCTGATTCTCTCTATGGATATCTAAGATATTTTGTCGTGTATTAACCGTTCTCTTGAAGAGATATATATTCGTTCTCCCATCATTGTACATCGAGCAATGGCGGGATTGAAATGCTGCGCACCGCACCGCGGTTCTCCCCGCTGAACCGAAGGGGGTCAGGATGGGGTATGGATCAGGCTCAAGGGGATAAGGAGTGGCTGTGGCGCCTAACAGGGATCTTCGGATTCCCCTGGAGAAAATTCAACCAAGGCAGTAGGACTCAAGCAACGAATAAATTGGTTTTATATATTCTCTCTCTCTCTCTCTCTCTCTGTCTGTCTACCTTATCTCCCTACGAATTATAATATTGTACTCTTACACCATCATAACACCCGATGATTACTTCCACCCCCGCTCGCATATGCAGACCTCCTTTCGCGCTACCTCTTATCCATCGCTTTCCTCCTCTGTAATCTACTCTCTCCCTTTCCCTACTTATTATTATAACACCTATCGAATTACAACACCATCCCTGCAACCTTGTAGCCATCGCTTGTACAGCTATCATAGTCGTATCAGACTACATATAGTAACTAGAATTGATCTCATCATCATCATCAGCTGCCGGAACGAAGCACCGGTGACCATAAATGCAATTCAGAAGAGAATGTGCCTGAATTATTTAATGCACATGAATAATAGTGCAGAATCGTGGACCGCTAGTAAGTACCAATGAATTTAGCGGGAGTATGCAGCCGTCTTGGCGAACCCTTACAATGATCACCGGACTGAACGCTTCGTCCCCAGAATGACTGCCCTTGACTTTACTTGGCTGTACACTTACTATTTATTGGTTTGGGACAAGCTGCCGTAAAATTAATTGGTGTGTCTCCCCAAACCACTGGCTGATCCCATTACTTACGATATGTGAAGTTAATTCAACCATTCTTTGGATACTAGGTAGTAGCTGGTACTTGGCTGTACTTACTAAAAATACTTTGTTGAACTTATCTTGTACTTTCGCTTTACGGGTACTTGCTATCACTGCAGGGGTCCACACATCTTTGTGACCCAAAAATGAGGCTCAAAGATGTCTACCTGTTTCGCTAAATTTAGGGCCTGTGACAAAGATAAGATGAAAAAATGCAAGATTGTCTTCTCTCTTTTTCCAGTGTCTCTTTCGGTGGTCAAAATCGGGCCAAAGGGTTATTGAAACGATGTTTGTCTCTTGGTGGCATAAATAAAACATTATTGGAGCATGAAAGACTGGGTGGACAACAAGTGGACAATGGGGCCCATTGTTCAATCAATCATTGGTATTACGAATAGAATCAATTCTCGACTGGAAGAAATTCTGCAGAGCCACTTTATTAGTCAGAAAATCTTCTATCAAGAGGGAAAAATGAAGAAAACACTCAACATCTTTGGCTTTTTTTTTTCCTGTGCCCCAAAAAATTAACGAAAATGGACGACATCTTTGAAAGCCACTTTTGAGTTTGAAAGATGCATGAGCCCCTGCAGTGTATGGTCCAGAGTCGAAGAGCAGCCTTAAAAATGGTGTCTATTCCTCGCAACATCACTTACATGTTTGACTCCTTACTCACCCGTGTCATTGCACCCTTAAAATGGCTCTATTTGCATTTACTTACTGTTACTTTGCTGTTACTTTGCTGTACGTTGCTTTACTTAACGGGTACTTTTACTTTACTTTACTTGACAAAAGCACTTAGCCTGCCAAAAGTAAAATAAAGTTAAATTTGTAAGGCCAAGTGAATTTTCATAAATAACTTAGTGAGGTCTTGATAAATGCACGAAAAGAATTCAAGGTTATCGACCCCTTGCATTCATGAGAAATCAGTCGAGTGCAGAACTCACCCGTTGCGTTGGCGGAATATCCGCAAGCTCAAAAAGACATTTAGACTTGCATGCGGACCAAATGCGGACGAACACCCTTGGGAGGAGATAATATATAAAAAAGAATCAGAAGTTCACACCGCATGGCAGGACCCCGAGTCGAACGGGGACCTTTGGGTTGCTTATCAAATCCAGCGACCACGCAGCACAACAGAGCCCAACGCGCACCCTGTGCCTTCCTGCCTTCCTCCTACCACTTAGGTCATGGATAGACGCAGGAATAATCAGGCCTGCCTGCGCCAAGTTTTGTCAGTGCAAGAGATCAATCGAGTCACTGCAAAAAAAGAAAAATCAACCGAGCGTGGAATTATGGAACTCGCCCGTGGATATGCCGGGGGAAAAAAATATTCGTGAACGAATAGAATGCGTCAGAAAAAAAATCAAAAATCATCACAGCTTCAAGCTTAATGGCAGGACCCCGAATCGAACGAGGCCCTTCGGGTTGCTTATGTCAAGCCACTCTAACAGAACCCAACGCGCACCCTGCGCCTTCCTGCCTTCCTCCTACTAACTAGGTCCTGGATAGATGTAGGAAAAATCAGGCCTGCCTGGGCTCAGATGAGTCAGATCTACCAGGGGAAAAAAGCACGAGTTCAATGGAACAAAGTTCCGCTGGGGATAAACAAGTAAATAGAACTCACCATTTGTGCCGCAACGATGCATGGAAGCATGCATGTAGTCCGAAGCCTGTCTTGGAAGTATGAAGTCAAAAAGAACGACGCAACAAACAAAGAGGTCTGAAAGCTTGTTAATGGCAGGACCCCGAGTCGAACGGGGGACCTTCGGGTTGCTCAATAGCTGGAGATCTCGGCACAGAAGCCTAATGCGCACCCTGCGCCTTCCTGCCTCATTTCTAGTATTTAGTACCTGGATAGATGTAGGGAGAATCACGCTCGCCTGCGTTCAGGTCTACCAGGGGGGAATATCACGAGTTCAGTGGAACCACTGGGAAGAACAAGTATCCAAATGGAACTCACCCATTATGCATGCATATAGTCTGAAGCCTATCTTGAAGGTATGAAGTCAAAAAGAATGGAGCAACGAAAGAAGAGCAAAAACCTTTTAAGCGACCGGTTAACGGCTGGACCCCGAGTCGAACGGGGACCTTCGAGTTGCTTATCACGTCATACATAATGCAACAGAAGCCAACGCGCACCGTGCACCTTCCAGCCTTATTTCTAGTATTCAGTACCTGGATAGATGCACGAGCAAACTTCAAGTCATCGACCCCTTGCATTCATGAGAAACCAATTGAGTGCCGAACATACCCGTTGCGTTGGTCGAATATCCGCAACGCTGAGAAAAAAACAACTTGCATGCGGGACCCCGGACGAACACCCTTATGTAGGAGGATATAATATATAAAAAAAGGCCACTGAAGCACTATGGCAGGACCCCGAGTTGAACGGGGACCTTCGGGTTATACATAACACATACAACCATGTATACAAACCCAAAGCGCACCTTGCGCCCTCCTGCCTTCTTCCTCCCACTCAGTTCCTGGATAGATACAGGAAGATTCACGCCCCGCCCGTGTTCGGATTTGTTACCAGTGCCAAAATATCAATCGAGCGTAGAAAAATATCAATTGAGTGTGGAACTCACCCGCTGCGTTGGCGGAAAATCTGAAAAAAAAATGCATCTGGGACAGGAGGATATAGTATTTATATAAAAAGAGCTTCAGTCACCCTCATGGCAAGACCCCGAGTTGAACGGGGACCTTCAGGTTATTGCGCAAGGCAGACTTACACAAACCCAACGCGCACCCTGCGCCTTCCTGCCTTATTTCTAGTATTCAGTACCTGGATAGACGCAGGAAGAATCACGCTCACCTGGGTTCGGATATGTTAGTGCCAAACTTATATCACGGAGTTCAGTGGAAAGAAGTTCTACTGGTGCCATGATTTGAATAGAACTCACCATTTGCGCCGCAACAATACATGGCAGCATGCATGTAGTCCGAAGCCTATCTTGACAGTATAAGGAGCAAACGAAAGAAGAGCAAAAAGAAATTATCACACCCAACCTATGGCAGGACCCCGAATCGAACGGGGACGTTCGGGTTATTGCGCAGCAGATGACGGAGACGCACACAAACCCGATGCGCACCGTGCGCCTTCCTGCCTCTTTTTCCCTGTTAGATTCCTGGTTAAGAGAGGCCCAAACAGATGGCTTGGAGAGGAGGAGGAGAACAGCCGCAGCGCGGCAGCGGTACGTCGAACAGCGGGTAAACAGTGGCTCGAGTAACCCAACGCGCACTCTGCCCAATCCTGACGTTGTTCCAAGCTACTCGGATGACGAGCTCGATGGTGGTTTCTGAAAGAGAGCAGCCGGCATTCCCCGGATGACCAATCACGCTTTGTCCTGTTGCTGGTCCTCCTGACTTGCTCCCAACTCTGGCCCAGTCTCTGGGGACTCTGAGCGCGAGAAAACATGCAGGTTTATGGGGACACTGAAACGGATCCGGAATCGGGCCGATTAACGTGAAATTTGTAGCTGGCCGATTCCTCAATTTCCTGCCGTTTCGAATTTCTGGGACCAACTGGACCGCGCCGTCTAATACACAGCGCAGCGCCGGCTAGGCCCTGGACGCGCGGTCCCATCCGCCTCGAATTTCGGATGAGCACTAGTACTCCACCCTCCCGCGCTGTGAAGCCTTCGCTGTGTAGCCTGCTCGCACCTTGGGCACACCGCGCTCGCCGCTGCAAGTCTGATCCCACTGTCGCTACTACATGCACGTCTGCGCTGTATCCGAGCGCGGGGGATGCCCTCGCGCGCCGAGTTTGATCCCACTGTCGCTGCATGCACGCTCCCGTCGCGGGCGATGGGCTCCTCCGCCACGCTTTTGTCGTCCTGCGCCGGCGCCCCGCTGCCCGCCAAGGCGCAGGCGCATCGCCTGCCCGCCGTACGCTCCTCCTTGGGCACCTCGCACACCCTCACCCGCGACTCCTATCCCACTCTGGCTGGCTGCGCGCTCCGTCCCCACGCTGTGCCATGGCGCGGGGCCCGCCGTGCGCTTCCGCACCGACCGTGCTCTTGGGCACACCGCGCGCGGCGCCGTGGTGTCGCGCGTGTTGCTTGTACATGTGGACCTCGTTGGGTGGTGGCGGGATGCGGCCGTGTCGGACAAGTTGGGCGAGCAAGACGCTCGCTCGTGCGACGACGGGTAGGCGGACGCGGTGAGGAATTGAGCGCCACCGCCGAGGAGAGGTGTGTATATGTGTTTTGAATGGAGGGGGGGGGGAAGACGAGCGGGGAGGGGTGCGTGGGGCACGACTTTCGAGGGGGACGTAGGGCTCACGCGACTTTCGTGCGGCGCGTATGCGCCGGTGTGCGAGCGTGGTCGTGTGATGCGGAGCGGATGGTGCGGCGGGGACGCACGTATCTTGTCTTGCTCCGTGCACCGTATCGGCCCCATGCAACACGTCCGTACACCCGTTGCGCGCGCGACGCCAGATTGACCCCCGTTCTCGTTGTGTTCGCGGGCGGCAGGTATGCGCAGGGTCATGTGGGATGTGGGTGTGCGAGCGATCGGCGACCGCGCTGCGTACGATTGGGGGATGGGTGGGGAAGCGTGTGCGGCGACGCAGGACGGATGCGCGCGGAGGGGGCGTGGGGGGAGGGAGCGTGGGGTACGCTTTTGCGCGTTGTGGGCGCGGGCGGTGGGTATGCGCAGCGATGTGGGCGTGCGAGCGAGCGAGCGCGCCCGCGCTGCGTACAAATTACGATTGGGGGGTGGGTAGGGATGATGCGAGGGGGGTGGAGGCGCGTGGGGGGGGGGGGGGGGGGGGTGGGGGGGCGTGGGGTACGCTTTTGCGCGTTGTGGTGCGCGGGGCGGCAGGGCGATGCGGGTGCGTGGGCGGCGGGGCGGGTATAGCGTACCGCGTTCTGCTTCTGGGTGCGGCGGGGGCTGACTCCCGGTGCACTCGATCTCGGCCCTTCATCTATGTCGCTGACACCGTCTCGAAGCAGCTCTGCGTATCCATCGTTTGCTAGTAACGCGTATACCTTGAGGCGCGCAAAAGCCGCACGTCTACGATTGATTCAGCGCGTACCCACCAGGTGCACGCTCAATCGTGTGTGCGTTCTCTCTTGGCGCTGCTTTGGCTCTCCGAGCTACACTTTCGCCCCGCGCGCGCAGCACGGGATCGACAGCTCGCATACTTCTCGTCCACCCACCGAGCAATTTGGCCTTCATTCACGTCTTGTCGTCCATCCCCGCCTCCTTCTCTACGCCATTTATACATTCCTTCCCTCCTTCCGTTCCGTTCTTTCGCCTCAGCCACCCACTCCGCCACGGCGCCTTCTCAACCCTTACATCCACCGTTTCGTCCTCCCGCTTCCGCTCCCGATCCCGGATTCTCGGCCCTTCCATCCCCGTCCTCCCTATCCTGCGCCCTGGAGCTGGAGGTCGGGGATAGCAGCTGGCGTTGCGCCTCCTTGTCGATATACATCTCCCTCGCGTCTCGCAATGTCTTTTATTATTATTATTTTCTGTGGGCAGTGGGCACGGACAGTATCCGTGCGCCGTGTCGCCAAGCAGTGACGGGCTAGTCTTAGATCTGACGCTAGCGCACGCCGAGCGATGGCGCAACGCATCCTCTAGCGTGCGCCGTTATTCGGCCAATCTCTATCATTTTATTCCTTCCCCTCCAGCCCATCTCCTTCCCGCGGACGGGGAATCCGCCGTTCTGCTCAACGGCTTTTACTATGTACCTTTTTTCGTCTTCGTCTTCGGTGGTTTTTGTCCTTGTTGCTTGTGTGGGCGTCATCGATTTCGCACCTCTCCTCAGGGACAGGATCCACTTCCTTCCGCTGCCAGGGAAGGAAGCACATCGTCGCCTCCGGCCGCTCAGATTTCTAGCTTAGGGAGGAATCGAGTGGATGAGTACCGGACGGCACACGAATGGTTTGTTATGCAATGTAAAAATCGAATCGATGCTAGCGCGCTGCTAGTATTTCGCGAGCGAGCGGGGAAATGACTTTCAAACCCAATCCGTGCATATGCAGGACCTGGATAGTGCAGACAAGGCAGGGAGGCGCAAGGTGCGCGCTGGGCCGCATGTGCATGGAGAGGCGTGATGTTTGCGTAATACCCCGGAAGTTTCCGTTCAATTCGGGGTCCTGCCATTGCCAGGTTGAGCATATCCTTTTTTTCTTTTTCTTCTTTCATATCTGACGCGACGTTTGATTTTTTTTCTGTCCTGCGCAGAACCTGAGCAGTAAAACACAGGCGAGGGTGCGCGTCGGGAGCTAAGCTAGTTAAGCCCGATGCGTACCGGGAATTGAAGCAGCAAGGATGAGAGAGCGAAAATTCGAGACGATGGCGGCGGGCCTCGTGATTAACGCGCTCTGTGTCTGTGCTTCTGTTTCCATGCCTTCTCATCTCGCGACCGCCTGACGTATAATACTATACCGTAGACTCTTCAGGTGGCTCTTCCTTCGATTTGTCTGGTGATAACTTTTCAGTGGAGCGATCCGTAAATTTGGCTAGTATT